ACTCAACGGTACGCAGACCGTATTTAGATTTACAAAAATATATAACAGATCGCAGTCCGTATTTACTATCCTAATCGTGCCCCTCTAGTTGCCATTTTCACAAAACCTGTGAAACAATATATTGTCCATTCACCCATTCACTATATGTGAATGGCCCATGCATTTTATAACGAAAAACAAGTAACAATGCATAACGCACGCGAACTAGTAACTAACTTAGGTGGTTAATCCAATTAACACGCCTAATTAAAACTAGTCAAAGTTGTTTAATATTTTATGTGATTAAGACGAAGCTCCCACTAAATTCCAATTAAATAAATTAAAAACGAAGCTCCAATTAACACGTAATTATTTCATGCAATTAACGAAGCACCCACTAAATTCCGGATCCAACTTAATTAATCCAATTAATTAAGCCGGTTAACCCAAATTTTGTCAAAATTAAAATTTTGCAAGAGCCGAAAAAACCGAGATCTAACCTCGTCAAAATAATTAAATAAATTAAAAACAACAAAATTTGCAAAGCGATAGTCCAAGTTTAAGAAAAATAGCCCACCCTTAAAACTCGTGGGTTGCGCACCATGGCTGCTAAGCAGCCCTTGTGTTGCGTCTGATGCTGGGTGCTAGCATGCTCGCTCAGCATAGCACGCCACGCTAGCCAGCACCAGCAGCATGCTACGCATGCTAGCTGCTAACTGGCGCTGGCAGCAAGTGGTTGGTTGGCTGGGGCTTGCTGCCTCGCCGCCCAGCAGCCTACGACCACGCACATAGCATTAGCGCACAAAAGCCCCTCGCCACAAAGCAGCAGCACCTCAAGGCACAACACCCCTGTGCGCACCTAAGGCAGCCACATGTGGGCTGCGTGGGCAGCTCGGCTAGCCTTGGTGGCGCTTGGGTGTTGTTGCCTCGATTTACATGCATTTTCTCGGGATTTTAATCCCGTTGTACGTGTGACATAAAATTAATTCTAAATTTATTTTAGAATCCCGTTGTACGCGTGACATAAAATTAATTCTAAATTTATTTTAGAATAAATTAAATAAGTCCAACTTAATTAAATTCAATTTTAATGGTGCCAAAGCCTAAATCATCCAATATTACCTTTGAAATAATTTAGGTCTTTCTTGATGCTTTAAAATTGAAGGGCTACACCCATAATTAATTTAACCAAAATGCAAATTAATAATGAGTTTTGACAAAATAGGGAGTTGGAAAAATAAACCCTTTCATCCAATGAAAAATTTCCCAACAATAACTTGTGTAAAATTGAAAAATTTTACATCTTCCAATATGAAGATTAATCAAAATTCAATCACAAGTTTTGAACTTTAAGGACTTTAATCAACACAAAAATGATTAAATCCAAAAATTAGTTCAACATGGAATTTAGCAATCAAAGTTCCAACCAAATAAACAATTAAAGATTGAATCTTTGAAATTTTAGGGGCTTCAAAATTGCAAGTTCACCATAAACATTCACACTTAAAGCAATTTATTTGCAATTATGTGAAAAATACAAGTTTATGTGAAAAGTGAACACACCAAATTAAGCACCAATTATGACTTCATAAACATGCTTAATGAGGTTTATAATTGAAGTAGATTAGAGATGCAACCATACATTTAATCTACCTTCATCATGCAATAATTAATCAAGGTTAAAAGATTTAAAAAATTTCGTCAATAACGAAAAACCCCTCAAAAAACATATTTCTGGGTGGATTTTGGCTGCTGGAAAATCCTAATAGTGTCAAAAACGATTTAGAACATCGATTCCACCCAAAAATCACTATTTTTGAGTCAAAATCTGGGTTCAACAGCCAAAATTAAAAAAAAAAGAGATTAAAATTAATTAAAACGAGCTTCTAATCCAATTAGAAAGCACAACCAGAAATTTAAATCCATTTTAAATCACCTTAATTAATTATTAGTCACAGTAATTAAAGTGAGCGTGTCTCCGATACCGCTGTTGGGTTTCGTAGAGTCCGACACTACGCGGAAGGGAAACCCACCCAAGACCCGCACACTAATTAAAGCGACTAAGCATGCAATCACTAATTAAACAACAATTAAGAGAGAGAAAGAAAAGACATTCTTACCCTTGTCGCGTGCTTCGCTCAAATCCCGAGCTCTTACTTGAACCCCGCAAATGTGAAGGTATCCGACGGCTCGTACCCACGAACCCGACCCGAACGATCCAAGTCCCGAAGGTTAGTCGAGACCCGACCAATAAAAACTAGAGTTTTACGAACTTAAGGTTTTCTCACTTTTCTAAGGAGATGTCTTTTTAGTTCCACTCAAGCGTTCTTCCCAAATCCCAAAACCTTGGTATTTATAGGGAAATGAACCTTGAATTCCCACTCTTGATCAATGTGGGAGATTTGCAATTTTCCATTTTATTTTAATCAAAACAAAATTAAAATTGCAAAACAATCAATAAGTTACAAGTGGCATAAGGAGGAAGAGAGATTAGATGAGGACCATTTCCAAGGGGGGGACCATGGCCTTGGTGCCTAAGGCAATGCCCACAACCCTTTGGTCCCCACTTAGTCAAAACCAGCATCCTCCATGTGGTTGGCTGGTAGCCTGCCTTGGCTGCTGAGGCTGCCAGCTGGCGCCTAGCACCAAGGCTGGGTAGCCAACCAGCACACACACGCACATATCGCAGCCAGCCAGCAAGCACCCCACGCACAGCCAGCATGCGTGCTGCTAGCAAGCCACGCATGTTGGGCGCTGCTGCTAGGTGCGTTGTTCTGGTCGATGCAATGTTAAGCACACGCACACGCATCATCGATGCTGCCTAGTGCTGTGCTAGCGAGGCACACGCACACGCACACGCTGCTGCCTGGTGCTGTGCTAGCAAGGCACACGCACACGCACACGCTGCTGCCTGGTGCTGTGCTAGCGAGGCACACGCACACGCACACGCTGCTGCTGCTTGGTGTTGTGCTAGCGATGCACACGCACACGCACGCTGCTGCTTGGTGCTATGCGATGCTGTGCTAGCAAGGCTGCCAGCATCTAGCACCACGCATAGCATTGCACGCCTAGCATGCTGCTATGCGATGGGGCGAGGCTGCGATGGTGCGACGAGCAATGCTAGGCCTTGCCTAGCGCCAGCGCCTAGCATGCTAGCAAGGCCTAGCCTTGCGATGCTTGGGCGCATGGCCTGCTAGCACACACGCAAAGGCCTAGCACGCCTAGCACTCACATGGATAGGCCAATGCGAGGCTACGACTAGGCTCGTACTTGTAACTTGATTGATTTCTCGTCTCGTCGAATTCTAAACTCGACTCAACTTGCGACGCTTGGTCTCGACGCTCTAAGCTCGATATCCGACGTCTTTGTTCGTAAAACTCTGATGACTTATCAACTCCTTCGGATTGATTAGTCGTCTCGGATCGGTTGTTCGATTGGGTTTGACCCAAAGGGTTCAGTCAAAATTAAGTTGTAATATTAATTGTACATTAATATTACTGATCGGAAGCGACCTCCACTTAGGCATTCCGATCACTTGACCTCACTGAAGAATTGGCTATCTAATAATTATGAACCCTCTACCGGAATAATACACTTGTTGGAAGGACACCATTTCTTTCAGTTTCCCCATTGGAAACTATTCACATTCGATACCAACCAATTGAGCATATCAATTGCAGATCATTTACTCCCGATCTCGTAATTCGAGAAGATTCTTAACTTTCGCATTTATTACAGATTCCACTCCGGTTCTAACTTGATCGTTGGAGGCGGAACTCCCGCAACCGAAGTTTCCGTTGTTTTGCAGGTACAGACGTCCGGATTCCAGTTTTGGTGTTGTAACTCTCCCAAAGGACACAGAAAACCCCGAAGCAGGAGGGATAAGTGGGTGTTTTTATCCCTATCCCTAACCCCCTTCTAATCCCCATCCCCATAAACAAACACTACATTTCTTCTATCCCTATTTTTTATCCTTGTCCCACCCCTTCTATCCCCCTAAACAAACACCCTCTTAAAGTAAAAATAAAATAAAAATATAACATTAAAGAGGTTATAGATAAAAGGGATCGTTTTAAGCAGATAAGTGGTAAAGGTGGGATTATTTCCAGATTATTTAAATGTGGGATTATTTTGAGCAGAAGTGACAAAGGTGGGATTATTAGTTTCAATTTTTCCTATTATTAAAATGAAGTGCTTTGCCAACATGCAACTGCTACACTTAAAATTATATGGTTACTTTTAGAATGTACTTCCTCTATTTCTTAATTCTTGCAAGACTTTTCTTTTCACGCTTGTCAATGCACTATCTCAATCTAATATCTTTAATTACAAATATGCAAAAATTATAAAATTTTGATATTATGGAATAATAAATCGAAACGAATATAACAAGATCCCACATGACTATATTTTCCCAACCTAAAAATCACCAAAGCTAGTTAAAGTGGCAAAGGTGGGATTATTAGTTTCAATTTTTCCTATTATTAAAATGAAGTGCTTTGCCAACATGCAACTGCTACACTTAAAATATATGGTTACTTTTAGAATGTACTTCCTCTATTTCTTAATTCTTGCAAGACTTCTCTTTTTACGCTTGTCAATGCACTATTTCAATCTAATATCTTTAATTACAAATATGCAAAACTTATAAAATTTTGATATAATGAAAGAATAAATCGAGACGAATATAACAAGGTCCCACATGACTATATTTTCCCAACCTAAAAATCACCAAAGCTAGTTAAAGTGAAATATGTGAATAGTGCAAAAGTCAAACTGTTACAAGTAAAATTAAAAAAAAAATGGAGAAAGTATAACACTTTGAAAAACGGAGGGAGTATGTCCATTACGCAATCTCAAAAAATGATTAAAAAACTTTCATAATAATCGACACAGTCAAAATTAAAACATTTGCCAATGTGTGAGTTTAAACCTACTCAATCAATTATAAGTTAATAACAATTGATATGAATAGTGCAAAAAAAAAAAAATGTTTATTATTATGGAACGGAACGAGTAAGTACTTGCTGAATGATTTCACCTATGTATAAAATTAAACAATAGGAGTACAATGTAATGTTTTAAAAAAAAAAAAAAAAAAGGTTAGAATAGAACGACAATAATGTTTAAAAGATTTGTATTAGAGCCTAGTTGATTGAAGCCTAGTACCAATAGTGTTGAGCTCAAACTTCTTGACTAAAGGGCCCATCAATCTAATGCTATTGTCTCGAACATATGGAGTTTTTTCTATGGTCGTAGAACTATCTTTAAGGAGTTGCCTGCACGGCTCCCGCCGCTCAGCAACCGTGCCATGGTAGTGATAGTACTTCATTATACTGTTAGGCAGTCGTGTTGACTTGCCTACAAAGTTCTCTGAACTATGAACCCCTGTTGCATACACATTCTTTGGTTGTATAGCGTACTTCTGATCTCTCCTCATTTTTTTCGCATTCTTGTACACCAACTTCTCGAAACCCCATTTCCTGATTAATTTGGAAGTGGTAGAAAATTTGCACAAATCAACAACGCACCATAACACAAAAATGATTAACCCAATCTTTAAAAGACCGATTGATAGCAAAAAAATAATATAGCCTTGTTACATTCAAGTCAATATCTATTTCTTAAATATCAAATTTCTGATTTTTTTTTTTTTTTTTTTAAACATCAAATTTCTTACTATACATTTTGCTTAAATAACTAAATATATTAATATCCAAATTTTTTGTTGGCAAACATGCTCAAAGTTCAAAAATTGTGGTAGTTAAATAATTACATTATTAAATGACTAATTCTACATGTATTGTGTATTTGTGTTGCTTCTAAATTCTAATATTCTCAATCAAAGTTTATCAATCATGTTGGTAGTAAACTCCAATAATTGCTAGAGGACAAGTTTCAAATTAGCCATCACCCACCCAACCTAAAGATAATAACGTTTAATTAAACAAGTACATTCATGTGCAACTTGACCATATTATACGGAGAATGGACAATAAACAGCATATAAAAAATGTGCTAGCATGTGACGCACCACATTTATATAATATAAATGTAATAAATCTAAAGAACTAATCCAGTCAATTATTCCCAACTAACATGTCAGTTAAAACTTAAAAGATTAGTTTAGGACCTCAGCTTTGTAGTAATACTCCATAGTAGTTGGGGAAATCAGGACAGCAACTTTATTTCATTGTTCTCGTCCAAAACACCATTTGTAAGGTGAAGGTGCAAATTAAAATAAAACAATAATATTTATAAATATCTTCTTTCTACTTCCTTAAAATTTATAGTTTTCAATTTCCCTCAACTCAATTTAATAATAAAAAATAAAATAAATAAAAATTCCACTGTCTTTCTTTTTATTTATGTGCCTAAGGCCTTTCTTTTTTCTTCTTTTTATTTTTTTATTTTTTTGTGATGATACCACTATTAATTCATAGTTTCTCCATTCCTTAATAATTACTACTATATGAGTTTGACAATATTCATATATTAATATTAACTACAATTTCTACTAATTAAGAAAAATTAAATACTATTGTTGTTTTTTGGATTTTTATGGGGTGTTTAGAGAACCACAAGGTAAGGTGATTAAGGAAAAATGATTATAATAATCAATCACTGAATTCTCAAGATCCGGGAGGAAAAATACTACTGTGTAATACATTGTTGGATTAGACTCAATTTATGCTTTTAAATACGAAGTATAAATTTTTTAAGAATTTATTAATATATAATTATATTCATCCTCCATTTTTTTTTATGTTATACTCAATTAATTATATTAAACATACAATTTAAGGAAATTAAAAAAATAAAAAAATTTAAGTGGGTATAACATAAACTTAGATAATTTAAATGAGAGAAAATGCAAAATTGGGTTTGCATTGATAAAAGGTGAATAAAGTATGTTATACTCAATTAATTATATTAGAAATACAATTTAAGAAAATAATATTTTTTTGAAAAAAATGAGTGTGTATAACATAAACTACGATAATTTAAATGAGAGGAAATACAAAAACTGAGTTTGTATTGATAAAAAGGTGAATAAAGTAAGAGATAATGTATGAATGTGAAATTATTGTGATTTTAAAGGAATAAATCGTAAAAAGAATATGTTTGTTAAAAGTAGGATAAAACAAAAGGTAGAAAAAAAACAAATTGAAAAAAATTAAAAGTGATCCAAGTACAAAGGGAATTCATATGTGTAGTCAAACTTGTGTATTATCATATGTGCTAGTCAATTACAGTACTTTAAAATATAGCGAATACTTTATCCGTTTTAAAAAAATGCTCAAATACTAGTTGGAATTGTTTCAGTTTAAATACAAAGTTTCGCGTTGACAAATGTACTAGTCAAATTGTGACATTTATTTTGAAACATAGACATTACTGCATAAAATTTAGGAAAATTTAACAGGAATAATCCAACCTTTTGTCCATTCTCCCATATTAATCCCACCTTTTGATTATTCCTCAATAATCCAACCTTTGCCCCCCTTTTTCTCACAGCAACCCTTGCAGGTCACCTATTCGGTATAACCGGTTATAAGTGCTACGTGGCACTTCCTAATTGGTTTTTTGTTTTTTTTTTTTTTTTTAAATTTACTTTTTTTTAAATTTTACTTTTTTTTTTTAATTTTATATATATATATATATATATATATATATATATATATATATATATTATAAAAAATAAAAAACCGCCCTTCTTTCTTCTTCCTCTCTCTTCCCCCATCACCAGATTCACCACCATAGTCATCACCATCCTTTTTTCTCTCTCATATCCCTTCCATGGCCTTCCTCCATTACCACCATCTTCCTCAATTACCATCTCACCTTCCCTCCTTACCAACCAACAAAAACACCACCAACATCACCATCACCACAACCTGGAAACCAACCCCAAAATCTAAAAATCAATCCAATCGCCACCATCGCCGCCACCACCTCCGCCACTCCCTCCCAAACCTAGACCCGAAACCTTTCCCCCACTCCTACCTAGACTCGAACCACCCAACCCACCTAGCCGAAACCACCAGCCCCACCCTACCCATATCCCAAAACCATCCAACCCCACATACCCAGACCCCAAAACCCCAACCTCACTTCCCTGAACCTTCCCGCCACCCCTTCCCCTCCCTCATCAAACTCCACTTATTTACCTCCCCATCAAAACTTATTTCCTATTCTTCTTTCTCTCTCAATTGAATTTAAGGCAAAATTGAGGGATATGTCTTCAATTATGGGGCTGGAATAGATAGGGGTTGTTTTCTTGTTGATTGTCGTGGGTGGCTAGGTGGGTAGTTGGTGTTGCGGGTGATAGTTATGGTTGTTTGCGTGTCGTATGTTGTGGGTGGTCTTATGTTTGCGGTTGTGTTGTGGTTTGGTCGTGGATGTTGTGGTGATGATGGTGTGTTGAGGTGGTTGTAGATGGTGGTGTTGGTGATGGTTGTGGATGCTGGTGTTGCCGTGTTGGTGGGTGACAATGGAGTAAGAGAGAGGAGAGAGAAAAGGAAGGGGAAGAAGCTAAGATAATTTATTTATTTATTTATTTATTTAATTTTTTTTTTTTTAATTTTCAGAAGAAGGTGGTGGTGGAAAGATAAAATGGAGGTGGAGCTTTGGGGGTGGTAATGGAGGAAGATGATGGCAAATGGTGGGAGGAAGGAGAGGAAAAGGGATGACCGGTTATTTAGGTAACTGGTTATTTGAGTTCATTTTGGGAAGAAGGGGTATAAAGGTTGGATTATTGTGGAATAATCCAAAGGTTGGTTTATTTTGAGAGAATGTGGCAAAGGTTGAATTATTCCTGTTAAATTTTCCTAAAATTTATCGTTTCACACTTTCTCCCTCCTATTCGCTTCACTTGCCACAAATTTTCTAAATTACACCTTGGGTCTCTGTTTGTTTTCTCCATAAATTTTCACAATCTTCATAACATGTCTTAAAACAAAAATATTCCTAGATTCCTTTATCCAAAAATGAGTTCAAATTAGGGAATCAAACAAATTCAACAAGATCTTACCGTAATACAAAGTATTAATCCTTATAGATTCTGATGATTTTTGGTCATAATTTTTGAAGTTACACTCACAAAAGTACAGTAGGACAATAAATAGAGAGATAGAGGGAGTTTATCTTGCTCAAAAACAATTACTCCGATATAAATTTAAATATCATTATTAATTTTGATCGACTTCCACATTAATAAATTCATTCACAAAGCTACTACAATTACACACAAATATATCAAAGATCAAAAAACATGGATTCTTTGAGTAAAGACACACTATATTATCCATCAATCACGCTCTTTTTTGTTTTTTGCCGGAATTACCACTCATCCAATTTATTTTTAATTTTAATATTTGATTAATTATATTACCAACTCTATCAACCTTTTTGTGATTTTCAATTACCAATCTTTTATTATTCAATATCCTACCTACAGTAATAATTTTTCTAAAATTGAATTTAATAATATATCCTACATCCTGGTACTTGACCCATTATATTCATTCAGAAGAACAAACACCAAATATGCACAACTTTACCAAAAAAAAAAAAAAAATTCAACAATTGCGGAAAAAGAAAATTTCATACAGAGAAAAAAACATACTTGTTAATTTGGCCAGCATCCTGAGCTAAACAGAGTCTATTAGACATAGATACTTGTTCAAAATTGAACAGGGTATAATCCTTGAGCGTTTCCATGATCGAATCAAGAGACGATTCCCCTGGCAAATAAATATACTCATCCACATCAAAGAAGAACATCCATTTCGTATCGAATCGATGTCTATGTAAGCAATCATTTAGTATAAGCATTTGATTATGATAAAACCCATCGAATTCCTCTTGATCTTTAATATCGTGTATTGTAACAAACCCAAGATCAATCCATGGAAAAAGTACATCCATTACTTCGGGGTGTATGCCACCTGCGTCGTTGAACACGAAATGAGTTTTCGTTCCGAATAATCTGACATGATACGCGATCCACTCACGGACTCTTTGAGGGCTAAGGTTACCGAACAATGAGCTACCGCAGTAGAGGTAGTCGTATTTAGGAAGGGCGAGAAATTGTGATGGTTGCCATGATTTTGGGGGTTCGTTTAAGGCTATGATTGTGTCAGTTGAGTTAATATCTCGATCATAGCCGCCGTTGGTGGAGGCGTGGAGGAGGAGACGGCCACCCATAGAAGGGTCGGTACCTGTAGGGAATGTACAGTTGACAACTACTACGACATAGGCACGGGCGAACCCGAAGTCCTGGAAAGAAAGCTTTTGCCCTGGGACTCCAAAATGTGAACCGTTGTTATATTGGTACTCGCAGTTGTAGGTGGGATGGCCGTAGTCGTGGAGGGGTTTGGAGGAGAGCCCGATGACGGCGAAGGTGTTGGGACCGCCGCGGTAGGCGGACATAAAGACGAAATTGTAAGCGGCGGTCCCGACAGCGTAGAAGGAGCGTTTTATGACTCCATGGTCAAGGATCTGATCGGAGGGTTGTTGAGGAGGTGGTGGAGTGGTGGCTGTGGTGGTGGTGGTGGTGGTGGGGCAGGGGGTGACATTGGAGGTGGAAAAGGGGAGAAAGCGGGTGGGTAGGAATTGAAAGAGGGTGGCAACGGAGCAGAAAAGGAGGAGAGCAACAAAGATGAGCTTGAGCTCAGATGAGTAGCTGTTCCTCCACATTAACCCAAATATGCTGCCTTTTCTCCCTCCTGTTTTTCTGAATTTCTCTCTCTGAATCTTTCCCATTTCATTTTGGGGGGAGACGTTGACTAACAGGAACTTCGAAGAAAGTGGAGTGATTAAAATATTTTGTTGTCTTTTTCAGTTGGATTAATTTGAAAAGTATAAGATTAATACTGTTTTTTAATCCCAATTTTCACCAATTTATTTTTATTAATCCCAAATTTGGATTATTTTTTAATAATCCCAACTTTAAGGTGGGTTATCATTCTTCATACCCAAACCGGTCAACAAAAGTCAACAACCTTCTATTGTAGGTTGCTGGACACGTGTCGCCACGTGAGTGGTCCATTTTTATTTATTTTTTTGACTGAACCAAATTATTTTTTTTAAAAAAGAAAAAAACAGAAAATTAATTAATTAATTTTTTATTTCCCTCTTCCCTTTAATAGCCCCTCCCCCTCCACCTCCATTAATGGCAGCCAGCCAGCCACCATCCCCTCCATTTCCGGCAATCCCTCCATCCCCTCCATTTCCAGCAACCCTCCTTCCCCTCCGTTTCCGGCCGCCCTTCCACTTCCCCTTGAAAGCCCTACCCAAAACCCACCTGGAAATCCCCTTTCCTCTTCCCTTCCCCCCAAACATGCCTAAAAGCCTTAAAATACAAGCACAACCCAGATCTGAGTGAGTATAAATTTGATTTTTAATTGGAAATGTGGGGTGTTGTTTGCGATTAGGGATTTTTTGTTGTTGATGATGAGGATCAAGTGGGGTTTTGGGCGTGCTTGGGGGAGTTTTCAGGGTGGCTAGGGATTCGTCGAGGTGTTTTGTAGTTTTTTAGGCGTGTTTGTGAGGTTTTTTCGCGGCGGAGGGGGGGGGGTGGGGTTGGGGTTTCGGGGAGGCAAGAGGGTGGGGCTAAGGGTTTTGGGGTGGCAAGATGGTGCTGTTGGAAGTTTCGGGGCAGCAAGGGAGTGGAGCTGAGGGTTTCGGGGCGATAGAGGGGTAGGGCTTAGGGTTTCAGGGCGATAGAGGGGTAGGGCTTGGGGTTTCAGGGCAGCAGGGGTTGTGGCTAGGCATTTTGGGGCGGTAGGAGGGTGGCAGCAATGGGGGGAGCAATTCAGGTGGCAAGGTGTATTTGGGGTGGTGGTTGTAGTGGTTGACTGGTTGGCATAGGGGGATGGGGGGAGCAATTCAGGTGGCAAGGTGTATTTTGTTGTTTTTTTAATTAAATTTTCATTAACCAATTAACTTGTGACACGTGTCACTTTTAAAAAATAAAATAAAATAACCCATTCAACCGGTCACTGATTTTTGGGATTGAAGAATGATAACCCACCTTAAAGTTGGGATTATTGAGGACTAATCCAAAGTTGGGATTAATAAAAATAAATTGGTGAAAGTTGGAATTAAAAAATAGTATTAATCCAAAAGTATAACAAACCCCGTAATTAATGTTCAGGATTAATTTACAGAAATGGTTGCATCTTTACTTCAGTAGGTAGCAAATTGGATAAACGGTTTAAAATATAATTGTGCATCAGTCTAAATTCTAAATGGATCGGGTCGGATCAAGAGGCAGAATAGGCTAGAATTGAACTCCAACTCACACTCAAGTCAAATACAGTCACAATCGAGGCTAAACCCCTGACGATGCGTTCCAAAAGACTAATGATGAGCCGTAAAAGATTTGTCTCACAAGGGTAAACACGTCATGATTCACCCAATGAATTTAGATTAGTATTATTGGGTGATCAATTAATATCATTGGATGTTCACTAGTATTAAATATGTTTTCAGTCGTATTAAATATATTGTTAGTAGCATTATATTGCAGTTGTATTTTATATGGCAAACAGGTTAGGTTAGGTCAGGTTCAAGTTGACCTGCTTTATAGTCATCAGAATCGGGATTCTACTTTGAATTGGTGAGTGGGGTAGAATCGAATCGATAAAATCGATTCGTAGAATCGTACGATTTAACAAAATTGAAAAATTGGCCTTCAAATTTAATTAATGACTAAATGCCTAATTTTCAAACAATGAGAATGGTAATAATATATATTGTTGATCGCATAATATCGGCAAACAAACATAAAACAGTTTTAAAAATAATTTCGCACACACATAGCTCAAACAATTCACTATAAAGCCAGAATATTACTCCCTCCATTTTTAAATACTTGCTATACTTTTCATTTCCAGCCGTTTTTAAATACTTGATCCATTTCCTTATTTGGAAATTTTTTACAATAATTAATTAATTAATAATTTCTCTCACCTAGTGGACCCAACATAAATCATATTTTATTAATTTCATATTCTCTCTCTTCCAATTCTCTCCACTACTTTTGCTTAATACAATTTTTTATTCTTCCACCCACCCCACTACCTCCATATTTTATTACTTTCTCCAATTTCTCCTAAAATTCCGTGCATGGAGAAATGGAGCAAGTATTTAAAACGAAGGGAGTAATACACATTCTTAATCCAAGAGTACTAGACAATTGCTGTTAAATTATGAAAAAAAAAATGTTGTTGATTGACTCCTAAAATAGTTTCCCCTAATAAAAAATCCGATTATAATAGAATACTAAGTGTCATGTTAGTTCATTTCAAAGACATAGCTAAAGAACAACAACTACTACAAACTCATATTATAGTGTTTTTATATGCCCAAAGTTGAGTGCATAAGACTCACGAATACATTCTTGGAAAAATTATTAGGAATAATACGACCTTTCACCATTCTTCAAATTTTTTTTTTTTTTACTATTCCGTAATAAAACAGCTTTTGACATGTATCTACTCAAAATAGAACGTGACCAGTTGATAACATGTTTAGTAAGTTAATTGTGACACGTGTCGCATTGTAATAAGTAGACTGTTATATATTTTTTGTGAAAAAATTTCTATTTACAAAAATTAGTTTTAATTTTTAAAAAAAAAACCAAACAACCCCCACCCCATTAATAACCCAACCACCGCCGCATCCCCCCACCCTCACCCCCACCGGCCACGAATTCCCCACCAACCCCTCTTTCCCCGCTGAAAACCTCCACCGTAGCCCCCATCGCTGCTAAATATTCTCACTAAAGCCTCCACTCCTGCCAAAAGCCCTCACCCTAGACCCCACCATCGCTGAAAACCCTCACTCTAGTCCCACTATCGCCGAAAACCTGAGCCCACCCTTCCACAGTCGAAACCTCACCTTAGACCCCACCGTCACAAATAAACGCTACCTAGCCATGGTCGTGCTGACGCTACGGGGAGAGGGCTTAATGCAGGTGGGGAGGTGGTTGAATAGATGGGTTTGAATGGGAAGATGCAGTTGGAGGGGTAAGGAAGGAATTTTTTATAAAAATTAAAAGGGATAATACAATTTAATAATCCCAACTTTGCCCATTTTATTTTAAATAATCTCAAATTTTACCTGCATTTTCTTTCTTCAATCCCCTTTACCGGTAACCTGGAGATAGGGTCAGATTTTGATAAAAAAAATTAATTGCCACGTGTCGTTTATTTATTGGTTAAAAAAGATTTAATAATTTTTTTAAGGAATTTTTTTTAAAAAAAAAATAAAAAATCAAAGCGCAGCCTACCATAACCACCAACTGTGGACACGACCCTAGCCCAGCCCTATTTTGTACCTTGATTCCCGATTTCTGGCGCCTAAAGCCAATTTTCGACGCCACCCTTGCTTCTGCCCACCCCATCCTAGCCCAAAACCACGATTTTTTCGAAGGTGGGGAAGGGAGGAGGTTGGTTTATGGGGTCATTTGTCGGCTAAGTTGGTCCGATTGTTGCTGGTCGAATGTGTCTGTTGGTGGGCGGTGATTCAGTGGCAGTTGTTTCCGGTGAATGAGGGTCAGGCGTTGCTTGATTGTGCGCGTGGGAGCAGCAAAGTGAGCTGTTGCGATGGCAGTGAGGGAGTAGGGTAGTGAGTGAGGGAGATGTGGGGTGTGGGTGTTGTGAATGGGGTTGCTGCTAGGCGTTGATGACGGGATTCTGGGCTAAGTTCGGCGGTGAATGGTAGTTAATGTGAGAAGGGAGGGGGCTCCGGTTTCGGCGATTTAGGATAGGAAGAGGTCCATTTAGGGGATTGGGTTAGGGAGGGGAATGTATACTATGGCAGCGTTGTGAAGGGCAATGGCGGTTTCCGAGGTGGGGTTGGGATGGGGCGGCCAATTTTCGGTAATGGGGTGGTTTAGCGGTGAAAATTGGTGGTTGGTGACTGGTGGTTGGTTGGTTATGGCGTAAGCTAGGGAGAAAAGCCACCTCTGGTGGCTGGTAGTTGGTGGTTTGTATTTCTTTTTGAAATTCTTTCTTTTTAAATTTTTTTTATACCAATTGTTTCAGGTTTTTCTGATGTCCTGCGGGAGAGTTACAATTCCGAGACTGGAACCGGACGCCTGTACCTGCAAAACAACGGAGACTCCTGGTGGTGGGAGCTCCGCCTCCAACGGTCAAGTTAGTACTTGATTAAGGAGTAATTAATGCGGAAATTAAAGTGATTAGGTCTCTCTAGGTGAGAGTGTTTAATGTGAGTTTTTAGCGTAATCAGCCTGTAACTCATGTAATCAATGTGTAATCCCTCTTAATGAGGATTAAGGGAGGTATTTATAACCTTGGGAAACGTGCCAATCCTAAGTTTAGGTTAACCTAGGGCTGATTGGGCTTCCCTCGGAAGTTGGGCCTGGGTGGCCGGTTTCTCCATTAGGCATGGAGTATGTCACGTGTCATGACATAATAGGTCCAAGGTGGACGAATAAGCGTGTGCCACGTGGCAAGCCCTGACAGTTGATTAGGGGATTTTGCTCCCACCAATCGGAATGCGCCACGTGGGCCAATCAGGTCCTGCCAAGTGCCCCCAGTTGGAACTGTCAGGGCTTGCCACGTGGCACGCGCTTATTCGTCCACCTTGGACCTATTATGTCATGACATGTGGCATACTCCATGCCTAATGGAGAAACCGGCCACCCAGGCCCAACTTCCGAGGGAAGCCCAATCGGCCCTAGGTTAACCTAAACCTAGGATGGGCACGTTTCCCAAGGTTATAAATACCTCCCTTAATCCTCATTAAGGGGAATAACGAAAAAACACATTAATTACACACAGTAATA